TTCGGGACCCTCGCGGCGCGGCGGAACCCAAGCGGCGGGCAGCGCGCCAGGCCGGCGGCGGCCGGCTGCGGCCCGGAAGGAGTGAGTGCAGGCGACCTCCACGGAGGTGAGTGCTGTGGCGGGGCGGGCCGGGGCAGTGCGCGGGTCGGGAAAGCCGTTTCCTGCCCGGGGACAGCGTGGACGGCTCGCCTGGGCTCCCGCGCTCGGCGCGACGGCCTCTGGCGGCCCTTGGGCGCGCCGCTTCTGGCGGCTGCGGGATACGGCGGCGGGAGGAGGTGGGCTCTGGCGGCTGCAGGGGCGCGGGAGGGGACAGGGCGAGCGGCGGGCTGCGGGCGGGCGGCGGGCTGCGGGCGGGCCGCCAGGCAGTCGGCGCCACCTGTCCACACACCCCCTTTCTTCCCCGCGTTCCTCGCGCGCTCGGTCCTCGGCCTTCCCAGCGGCGGAGTTTTGCAGGAGACTGTCAATACCCGGCCGTGTGAGTGTGTGAGTGTTAACGATCGCTTTGCTGTCGTCGTGCAACAGTTGTGTAGAGCTGATCAAAGACGCCATCGCCCTTACTTGCTTGCTCCCAAGAAGGCCCTTTCCAGGTCCTCCGGTCTTCTGGCGACAGTTCTGGGTAGCTCGTGAAAGAAAAGCAAAAGATGCGGGGTCGCAAGGCACTAAAACGGTTTCCGTTCCCAAATGATAGTATTTTTCTGTGTGCTTTTTACTGCAGTTGTTTGCTCTGAGGGGCGGCGAGGGGTTTGAAGAAAGCCCGGAGCAAATCTCATCCATTGGAGAGTCCATTAACAATTGCAGATTGTCGGTCCCTTCCTTTTGAGAATGTTTAAGTTCGTGTACTTGATTTATGTGCATGTTTTAGATAAGCGGAGGTGTTAATTTTCTGTTCTTTTCACTTAATACATTGAGGACTTTTTCTGTCTGCTATGAAACCAAAGCGTAAAAGGCTAGGAAGAAACTCGTTGAAAATTTGATTACGTATCACTGCAGTAGCCAGCCTATTGGCTGGAAGAAAGCTGAAATCAGGGTAGCAACCAGTTTCTATAAAATATTGTTTACTCTGCCTAATAATTTGGGGCACTGTTTGTCACACTGCAGTTTTCTACCGGTTAGTCAATCGAATTAAGATAATGTAGAAGATACCAAAATGTACATTACTAGGGTATTGCTTTGTGAAACCTTTTAAAAAACTGCCTGTGTGTGCATGCATGCGTGTGTGCGTGCCCTCAAGCACTGGGCTGTAATAGAAAAAATTGTATTGCTTCCTATGGTCTCATGCTAAATAAGCAAAGTCACAAAAGTACTTTAAACACTCAGAATGGGATAAATGATGGAATTAAGCTTAATGTTAATTTTATCCTTTTTCGTTTTTGGAGTAGTGACTTGTGTATTGCACCAAATTTGGTTATTATTTGTTTTAATCTAATATTAAAACAATTATTTCTAAAAAAAATCAAGAAACGTTTTATAGACGTTCTGGAGCCGAAGCCCTGTTCAGATTTACCAGCCACCCTGGTTTTTAGTGTGAGACCTGGAACAATATCCCTCCCCTTTCTAAACATCGGTTTGCCTCCTGTCTTTTGCTAAGATAATACATATGAAGCTGTTGACAGCGTGCCTGGCTCAGATTAAGTGCTCACGGTTAGCTATTATTATTTTATTAGGACCCAAATGGAAGTGTCCAGGATGCTTGTCGCCATCGGGAAGCCAGCATAGCATGGATAATCCAAAAGGAAAAAAAAAAAAAAAAGCAAAGGTGAAAATTAGTTGATAGTGTTATGTGAAGGAACTGACACTCAATTAAAATATGGTCTTTTTAATACACGGCTTGGCCGTTGTTATGAGAATGACTGCTTCTCATATTTTCTATTACTAGACAGCTAATTTAGATTGTGGGTTTTTTTTGTTCGAAGTTTAACTTTTTATTTTTGTATTTTTGAGGCAGGGGTCTCCTTATGTAGCCCAGGTGGCCCCTGAATTCATGATCCTCCCATGTCAGTCTCCCAAATGCAGGAATTACAGATGTGTACCACCATAACCAGCTCAGATTGTTTCATTTAAAAACAGATATTCTTCTATTGTCTTTTCTTATTATTTTTTTATTAATAATAAAATACAGCTGAGAAGTATTTCATATAAGGAGTCTGAATTTTGCTAGTGCTCATTACAGTGACCCAGTCAGTTGAAAGACAATATAACTCCAAACCATGTTAACAATATTATTGGCTTATTTCTTCACACAGTACACATCTCAGATGTGGAAGAGATATTTTTTTACCAAAAAAAAAAAAAGAAAGAAAGAAAGAAAGAAAGAAAGAAAGAAAAAAGCAGCAGTAGCATCCTAGGCAATTCAGATATCACTGTTCACTGCCTTAGATTGGTTTATATACTTTTAGATGTTGTGGGGGGGGCACCAATGAATGAAGATTGTGAACATTGTCATTAAAAATAGTATTAGAAATTTTATGGAAAATAAATAGACTGTGCTCACTAAAAAAAGGCGTTCCCTTCAAAAGCTATAACTGAGTGTGACATCTGTAAGAGGTTGGGAAAAATGGAAAACAATTGTAATTCTGCACTTGGGTCTGCTAATGTATTTAGGCTCTTGCTCTGTTTTACAGCAGTAAAACGGAGACTTACTGGGAGTGAATCACATGGTCTGTGAAAGAAATATGGCTTGAAATACATGTTAATTTGCCCCCGCCCACAGAAAAAGACAAAGCCTCTCTAAACGTCGAAGCAAAAAAGCCTACTCCAATTTTAAACATATATTTATTATACATTTTAAGTTAAAATACTAAGATTATGTATGTCTGTGTTTTAAAAATGATTGGCTCCCTAGCTACCGGTTCTTATCTTGTTGAATAAGAGAGATTTTTGTCTTGCGCAAATAAAGTGAGGGACTATGCAGCTGTTAAACATTCCACTTTGGAATTACATGCAATGGGGAGGGAAGGTGCTTATCATGTGTGTATAAACGAAAGCAGAGGGTGATAGAATGGAATGTCCAATGTCAGTCCCTTCCTGTAACATACGACAAATGGTAAGATAGGATTGCAGCCTATATTTATATTCTTTATGTACTTGCTTTTATCATTGCACAACAGAAATGTCTTGTATTTTAAAAGGTAATTTTAAAGCATTAATATACCTCTTGTAAAAAAAAAACGCTCCTACTCTAAATTCTTTTTTGGTTGGCTTTTCAATATTGCCATGTCAAAAGCCAGCCTTTTTCTGTTTTGCTGCCACAAATTCTCAAATCAAACCTTTGATTCAGTAGAACTTACTAATTTTCTATCTCCAAATATACTTGACACCTTTTTATTTTTATACCTTTGTTCGTTTGCTTCTTGAACTATTTTTTCCTAACCTTATTCTAAATAAATTTTACTCCCAAAACTTGGGTTAAAGATGATGTCTCCCTTTATACCCTTAAGCATTAGCTGTTTTAGTGGATCTTGATAATTAAAGCCATCATCACATTTGTGTTACGTGGATCCAGTCCAAGCCTCTTGCGTGCTAGGCAAGCGCTCTAGCACCCAGCTTTCCTCTGCCGCACGCTTACTAGCTTTACTTGGGCAGTTCTCAGACACCACTTCACACTTCTGCAGTGATTTTCGAGTTCCATTTTACACTCCTCGGTGGCAGGAGAGCGTGTGTTTCTCCCCTAAAGCTCCTAGGGCAGAGTTCTGCACCAGGCAGGCGCCTGACAGCATATACATTGAGTAAGAAACGGTCTTGTCGGTTCTTTTGAAACTGAGGGTTGGGATTTTTCTTTACAAGTGGTCCTGGGTCCAGGTTAACACTTGACCCATAATTACAAGCAGTTAAAAAAACCCGACCATTCCACTTAATTGTCCACTGGTACAGATGGATGGTAAGAAGTGACACTTTTGCTTTTTTTTTTTTTTAATTAAAACTAGTATAGTAGCCGGGACTATTGGGTACCGGGCCCAAACTTAGTTTTACAAGTGTTTTCCTTTTAAAATGTTACCAGAAACTTATTTTGGTTTTGGGCAATTTTTGTTCCTTTTAACATGCTGAAGGCACAGGTGTGCCTTACCTTTCTTTCTTTTTTTTTTTTTTTTTTTTTTTTTTTACAGCTGTTGCTCCTAGAGCCCAGAGAGCCAAATGCATGGGGGCTTGGTGGGACCACAGACATTGCTCCACTTTCGGGGGGAGGTGTATGGTAGTATGTAAAGTGCTTTGTGTTCAAAATGTAATATTTTCTTCTGTTACTAGAAATAACTGTTATTTTGTAAATGCCAGTGTGAGTAGAGCGTGCTTGTTTGGTCCACTACAGATGTGAGACTTACTGTCTAAAGAGTGGTTTTCTTTTAATTTACAGACGCTTGTCTAGACGGATGCAGCGGATGAGATACTTGTCCTTCTCTGCTTAAGGTAATCCACTTGTTACTTTAAAATCAAAACCTATATAAAAAGACCTATTGACTCATGCAAAGCAATATAATTCTAGACCCTGGATAAATGATCCTCTTAATAATTGAAATTTTATTAGTTCATGAAAATGAGCTGATGTTCTTGGGTCAACTCAGAATTAGCTTGAATATTTTAATCGTGCAGTATGTGTGCCGTCTTCCTGCTTTGGAGGGTTAGATCTGGTAAGTTTTAGGTGAGGTCCTGGGATGTTAAACGTAAGAATCGCAGCACACGCTTCTGATTGTAAGTCACTGCGGCATGAAGGGTGATGGAGCTGAGGGATGAAAGGCTGTAAGCACTTGATATTTGTGTATGTGATGTTACACTCATTTTTGACTTTATTTAATGAGTGTTTTAACTAGATATTTAAGAAGTGGTTAAAACATTTGTTACTTTCTAATTTCCAAAGCTTAGTTTTATGTTCTAGGATTTGCTTAGCCTAAAAATTGTCTTATCTACGAATATAACTACGAGCTTTGTCTTGTTCTATGGTTTTCAATTAATAAATGAGGTGAATTAATGGGGAGAAAAATCTAGTTTTAAAATTTCACATATATTATTTCAGATGCTGGTTTAATTGATTTATTTTCACTATAAGTGTGAGAAGTCAGAAAAGCAAAGGTTCTCATTACAGAGTAATAGGTAAGTGAATATTGTGAGGAATGTTGACTTGATAAAGCTTTTGCATTCTCATTAGTTTTGAGGCTGTAATTTCAATTTCAGTTGGTTTTAATAGCTAAGCCTTTTACATCGTGGAATAATCTTACTCAGAAGTACTAATATCACAGAGCCAGGTTTGGTGGCACAAGCCTGTAATCTCAGTGCTTGAGATGCTAAGGACTAGGAGTTGAAAGGTAGCCTGGGCAATACAGTAAGACTGTTTCCACCTTCTCCCTCTAAATACAGCACATTGAGCGATTCTGTTGTATATTTTTCAACAGGCAAAAATGTGTAAATAATTAGAATTAAACTTAAAAAACTTATTTGCAATTCTGTTTTCAGTTGTAACAAACCAGCGAGTACACTGCATTGAATTTATTAAAATAGCTGCAACTATGTTTATAGGACTGCAACTGTGTGTGTGTGTGTGAGAGAGAGAGAGAGAGAGAGACAGAGAGAGACAGAGAGAGAGAGAGAGAGTATGCTGCATTGAATTTATTAAAATAGCTGCAACTATGTTTATAGGACTGCAACTGTGTGTGTGTGTGTGTGTGTGTGAGAGAGAGAGAGACAGAGAGACAGAGAGACAGAGAGAGAGAGAGAGTATGCTGCATTGAATTTATTAAAATAGCTGCAACTATGTTTATAGGACTGCAACTGAGTGTGTGTGTGTGTGTGTGTGTGTGTGTGTGTGTGTGTGTGGCCAACAAACTATTTGGCTATGTATCAAGATTATCTAGGTTATTATCAATTTTTCTTTTAGCAGAGTAAATGTAGATTTATTTAGAATAGTAAGAAAGAACTCCCGATAGTAGAAAGGGCTTCAAGAGAGAAATACCTTTTTATTTTATTTTTGCAAATCAGCAAGGGGTTTCATTTAGAAGTAAGGCATAAGTACAGAAGAGATACACTGAAACCTTACAATGTAAGACTTACTCACAAGTCCCCTTTTTAAATAACACGGAGAATCTTCAAAAATTCTGAGTCCTAGGCTCTAACTCAATTCTACTGATTCAGAATTTGGGGAATGATTTTACCAGCTTGATTTCAAACTTTGATATATGATGGAAGACTTATAGCTTTTTTTTCAAAATCTCTTAATGTACAAACACACATATATAAATATTCCATTTTTAACTTTAAAAAACTTATTACCTCTGTGCTGTACACTGGTGCAAACTAAATTACAAAGAAAAAATATTTTGTCTAAGATCAAAAACGAGTAAGGTGTGGCTTGGGCAGTCTGTGGGGCCACTGGCAGTGGGACCAGGATTTATCCCCAGTGCTTGAACTGACTTTTTGGAGCCCATTCTCTCTGGAGGGATAGTTTGCTCAGACTAGGTATAGTGGGGAGGACCTTGGTCCTTCCTCAAAGTAAGGTGGGAAGACTTACAGTTTTAGGTGGGTAAAAACTAGTGAACCTTTTATTGGTCAGGAAATCACAAAGATATTAGTAATAAAAACTCTCCCTATGTACGTGGTTTATACATTTAGAAAAGTTTACTGACTCAGAGGCCACTTTAGTTGCTCTTTATATTTTTAGCAATTCTGATAAATTATAATAGAAGCTTGTGAGCTGAACATAAACTGCTGCATGGCATTTTTACTCATATAGAGAATTAAATTCTTCTATGATATCACAAGTTTAGAGAACCTGGATTTTTTGTTATAAGAACTCAGGAAAATAGTGTTTCAGGAGGGTTTAGTACGTGTATTATAGTAGTCTTTAGAAATTATAGAAGTCTTTAAAAATTATAGACGTCTTTAGAAAGCGGTCTTTAGAAATCTAGTGCTGTATTATTTCATCTGGAGTCATTTTCTAGAAGCTCAGAGCTATAGGAAACTGATAAGAACCTTCATTATCTTCAAATGACTGCAGCAAACTGCTCTTCCTAGTGATGCATCCATTGACTCAGTAGCTCATGTCTGCTGTGTAATATTCTCCTTATCCATAGCAGCGGGACTGGTGGAAGTTAGGCATAGGCATGATGGTGCATGCTTGTTAGTCCCGCACTCTGGAAGTTGAGGCAGAAGGATTGCCATTTCCAGGCTTGTTTTGGATTACGTAGTGAATTCTAGGTCAGCTTAAGGTTTATAGTGAAATCCTGCCTCAAAAAATGAACAGAAATAATTTTGAGCTATATTCCTAATAGTGATAAGGAATTATTGTTTATTATTATTAATTTTAATGTTTCTTTTTTCTTTCTTTGTAGTTTGACCATTTGAGGCCAGTAGCCTCCTGACTGACTAGTTAAGATGCAGAAAAGACAAGGGTATTGCAGCTATTGCCGTGTGCAGTATCCTAACCTAGAACAGGTGAGAGGTTCCCACTGACCCAATAACAACACTTAGCATCTTAGTTATGAGTTCCTCTTTAACGTTTTTATTAGATTGGCTTATTCACCAAATGGATTTCATTGAAAATCTGCTGGTTTGCAAGTATTGCTTGACTATGAGAATCTAACCATAAACAAAACCAATTTTTTAATGGAGTTTATAGTATAGTTTAGTAAGACAGGAAATAAGTAATCATATAATTTTAAAAAACATATGTCAAATTATGATTAGTTTTAGGAGGAAAAGACAATAAGCAAGAGAGTGCTGTTTAAGTAGACCAACCAGGTAAGGGTTTTTTTTTTTTTTTAAGTGACATTTGAATTGGCATTTCAAAGAAGTTCAGTGCCAGGTTTGCATATATATATGAAGGAAGAGTTCTAGGCAGAGAAAATGCTCTGAAGGGGAAGAATATTATGCTAACCGGAAGTCAAGAGGCCAGTATGACTCCAGTGGAAGTTGGGCGAGAAGGTGCAAAGGGGTAGGAGAAGAAGGAAGGGTAATGACGCGGAAAGCCCAGTAGGTCAGCTGGATGTGAGGCACCTGCCTTTAATCCCAGACAGAGAGGTGGAGGCAGACTGATCCCTGGGAGTTCAAGATTGGCCCGATCTACAAAGTGCTAGGTCAGCCAGAGCTAAGAGACCCTGTCTCAGAAAACATACAAACGTCCTTGTAGGTTAAAGCGAGAACACTGACTTTGATGCCAGTGAGGTGGGTAGCCATCATAGCACTCTGAAAAGGGTGACTGTATTATTGAACTCATATTTTAGGAGGATCATTCTGGATGCGGATGAGTAGAACAGTTGGTATAGGGATTCTTTCATATTTATTTTGTTGCAAAATAATTCTTTCATTATAAACTTCCCCGCTTTAAAGTGAAATTCAAAGATCTTTAGTGTGTGCACAAAAGGAAACCAACCACATACTACTGAACAGTCATTCTGTACTCTCTTGGATCTCTAACCTCTGGCAACTACTAATCTACTTTCTGTTTCAAAAGATTTAACTATCCTGGATATTTCTCCCAAGTGAAAAATTATGCTGTGTGACCTTTGTGTCTCACTTTCCATTTAGCATAATATATTCAAGGTTCATTCATATCATAGCATGTATTAGTACCTCATTATGGCTGAATAATACTCCATTATAAAACTAATACCACATTTTATTTATTCATTCAACAATTGATGGATGCTTAGGTTGTTTTTACTTTTTTTGGCTACCATGAATATTGTTGCTATGGATGTTTGTGTATAATTTTTTTGTGTGAACATACATTTTCAGTTCTCTTGTGTATATATGTAGGAGTGGAATTGTTGGGTCATATGATAACTTTTTTTGAGGAACTGCCTCACTGTTTTCCAAAGTGACTATTATTTTATGTTACCTCCAGCAATGCATGAGGGTTCCAGTTTCTCCTCATCCTTGCCAGCACCTTTTTCCCCCTTAATTATAACCATTTTGTGGATGTGAAGTGATATCTCATTGTGACTTTGATTTGCATTCACCAGTGTCATTGAGCATGTTTTCATGTGCTTATTGGCTGTTTGTATACATTTTTTTGGACAAATGCCTATTCAGATCCTATGTCCATGTTTTAATTGGTTTGTCTTTTTTATTAATGAGTTTTAAGCCTTTCTTGCTAGCAGACCTTTATGAAATAATATGGTTGTAATACTTTGTCCTATTCTGTGGCTTGTCTTTCTACTTTGTTGATAGCATGCTTTGCTGTATAAACATTTTAAATTTTGCTAGGTGTGGTAATTCCTGCCTGAAATCCCACAATTTAGGAGGTGAAAGCAGGAACATTGCAAGCAGGCCAGCTTGGACTACATAGTGAACCCTGTCTCAAAAAAAAGTTTTAAATTCGTTTATGTTCTTTTTTAAAGTTAGACAGTTCTTACTATGCAGTACAGGACCTTCCTCTGTACCTCCTGAGTGCTGAGGTTGCAGGTACGTACCGCTGCACCTTTCTCTGTCTTTTCTTTGAGGATTGCCCAGCCAACATCATGAAGACTAAGAGTTTCATAGTTGCTCTTATAATTAGATCTTATGTTCAATTTGAATTATTTTTTGTACAGATGAGAGATGGAATCCAGTTTCATTCTTTTGCTTGTGAAATCCAGTAATCAACTACAGTCTTTGTTGAAAAGACTAGTCTTTCCTGTTCAGCTATCATGTCTGTTGAAAAATACACTACTTAAAATTGTAAGAGTTTATTTCGTTGTTCTCAGTGCTGTCCTATTAGTCTATATATGCATTATAATGCTAGTACCACACAGTCTTTTTAAAAAACGCATTTTAAAACTGGCATACAGTAATTGTATGTGTTTATCAGATAACTGTGTGATACTTCAGCACATATATACAGTGGGTAATGATCAGATCATGATAATTGGCCTGTCATCTCAGACATTTATTTCTTTGTACTGGGAGAATTCTCTCTGCTCTTTTGAAACATACAGTTAATTGTTGTAAATCATAGTTAATATTCCTGTTCTATAGAACATTAGAAGTTATTGCACCTATCACCCACCCTTCCATACCCATTAACTATCCTCTTTCCATCCCTCTGTCCTTCTCAAGCTTGGGTGACCACTCTATCCATTCATTCATCTGTGGACACCTGGAGTGATTCCCTTTTTGGCTGTCATGAATATTCTGTAGTAAACAGAAGAATGCAGATGTTATCTTGGCATACGGATTTTACTTCCTTTAGAAATGCATCAGTAGTGGGATTTTCTGTTATAAGAATTTCTGTCCTGTTTTCTGTAATGGTTCTATGTTTAACAGCTTTATAGTAGTGACCCCCCTTTGTCACATCTCATCAGAACTTGCCATTTTAAAATCTGTTAGTAGTTCTTACAGGGTTGAGAAAAGATAGCTTATTGTCTTGATATATATTTCCTTGATGATTAGTGATATCAAACTTTTTCATATATTGGTTTGCTGTTTGTATATTTTTTATAATTTTTATTTCATTTGCATTGGTATTTTGCCTACATGTATGTCTGTGTGAGGGAGTCAGATCTCAGGGTTACAGACAGATGTAAGCTGCCATGTGGGTGCTGGGAATTGACCCTGGGTCCTCTGAAAGAACAGCCAGTCCTCTTAACCGCTGAGCCATTTCTCTGGCCCCCTTGTATATCTTTTTAAATATGTCTATATACAGGTTATTTGCCCATTTTAAAAACAAATTATATTTTGCTGTTGAGTTGTTTGAGTCCCTTATATATTCTGGAATGAGTCCTTTGGGTAGCTGGCTATAGTGGCTCATGACTTCTCAGTATTCAGGAAGCAAGAGTATCAGGAGTTGAAGGCTAGCCTTAGCTACATAATGAGTTTGAGGCTAGGCAGAGATACATGAGATCATGTGTCAGAAAACCACCACTACCACCACCACCTCCACTAGCAGAAACCAATACTAAAGTAAGAATTTTTTGCTGGTAAGTAGCTTGATGGGTAAAACACATGCCACACAAACGTAAGGACTGAGTTTGAATCTCTAGAACCCTGTAGAGCACGCCATGGCAGTGTGCTTCTGTACTTCTATGGTAGGATAGGAGGCAGAGACAGAGAATGATGTGTGGCAGTGAAAACTAATAGGCAGAGACCCTGTTTAAAACAAGGTGGAAGGAAAGAACTGGCACCTGAGGTTGTCTCTGACTTCCATGTGTGCACCGTGGCATGTTCGTATCTCTTATGTTTTCTTCTAGTAGTTTCATAGTTTTGGGTCTTACACTTACTAGTGTTACGATTCTATTTCTGAGAAGACACACCATAACCAAGGCAACTCTTTTTTTTTTAATATAATTTTTTATTTAAATTAGAAACAAGCTTGCTTCACATGTCAATCCCAGCTCCCTCTACCACCCCTCCTCCCTTGCCCCTCCAACAGCCCCTTAGCCCCCCACCCAATCCTCACACCATTCCCCAGGGAGGGTGAGACCCTCCATGGGGGATCTCCAGAGTCTGTCCTTTCATCCAGGGAAGGGCCTAGGCCCTCCCCCATGTGTCCAGGTTGAGAGAGCATCCCTCCATGTGGAATGGGCTCCCAATTGGGGGCTTGCGTATTTGAGAGTTAGTCCACCATCATCATGGTGGGGAGTGTGATAACAGGCAGCCATAGTGCTAGAGAAGTAGCTGAGAGCTTTACATCCTGATGTGCAGGTAGCAGACAGAGAGACTGAGCCTGCCATGGACTTTTGAACCCCCAGTGCCCACACCCAGTGACATACCTCTTCCAACAAGGCCAAACCTCTTCCAACAAGGCCAAACCTCCTTCCTACAAGGCCATCCCTCCTAATCCTTTTTTGTTTTGTTTTGGTTTTTTGAGGCAGGGTCTCTATGTGTTGCCCTGGCTGTCCTGAAACTAGCTCTGTAGATCAGGCTGTTCTTGAACTCAGAGTTCCATCTGCCTCTGCCTCTGCCTCTGCCTCTGCCTCTGCCTCTGAGTGCTGGGATTAAAGGTGTACACAACCACCACCTGGCTTTTTTTTTTGTGTGTGTGGGTAATCCTTCTAATCCTTCCCAAACAGTTCCTGGCACCAAGCATCCAATCATGGGAGCATACGGAGGCTGTTCTCACTCAAACCACCAGATAGTGTGATATGTAGTAAGAGATTGAAGTCTAGTTTTATTCTCCAATATTTAATTCATCATCACCATTATTATTAATGAGACAGGATCTTACTATGTAGCTCTAGTTGTCTTGCAAATCGCTATGCTATAGCCCTTGCACCCGGAACGGTCCACCTGCCTCTCCCCCTGAGTGCTTAGATTAAAGGTTTGAGCCACCATACCAGACTTTTATACATATATATAATATATATATAGATGTTGAAGTTTTCCAGTACCGTTTACTGAAGTGAGTTTACCTTAGTGGGTGCCTTTTATGCCCCCACTGGTCAACTGCCCTTATAGTTAGATCTAGATGGATAAATTATTCCTTTGTTTTTTGTTATGTTTCTTCAGTGCCCCAC